TTCTCAGAAACAACTGTTTGTGACAACATTTCAAATCAGTTCTCCAAGTGTGCAAAGTGAGCACCGTTCGGCTTGGGAGGGGCATTTTGCATGTCTGTTATTCTTGTTCATGTTGATTGACACGTCTCGTTTTGGTGGGATCTGTAAATCCTTGTAAATCTGCGAGATCTTGCAAGTTAGCCAGTTTGGTAAGGAGAGTTTCTGCAAGATGACCTCTTCAGGTCTCGCTGAGTACTATTTGTTGCCCCACCAAGCCGTACAGCGCCCAGAAGAGTTCTTGAACTGTGCGGAAAGTCGAAAGTCAAATTGTCAAGAAATGGAAAAGTGGAAACACATCAAGAAGTCATCCACCCCTCCGAGTATGAGACCCACCTCAGCACTGCTGAGTTGCAGAGCAACGATAGAGCAGAAGAGGTACAGCATTGGAATGGGTGAAATGGCAGTGACAGATCAACCACACCCACCCTCCCAATTCGATCCTGTGGTGTGACTCCCTTGCCAACTCTTTCATTTCTTCCAGCTCCCTACAGTTTCCAGTTCGTTTTCGGGTTTTCCTTTTTACCCCCGGAAGCTGTGGCGAGCGGGGAAGGGGGGGGGTGTGCACGAAAAGACAAGAATGGAAATTTTTTTTGTGAGATAATCGGGGGATTTTTCTTTAGGCCGAGATAAAAACGCCACGCCCTCGAGCGAGCGATGGTTTCTCCCACCAACGAGGTACTATCGACGTTATCCCATCTTCTCTATTATTGTCGAGTAAGAGTATATTCACTCAAAAACCTACTTAATCCTTAACATTGTTCAAGGAGGTCCGCAGTACGTACGCAGGCACAGCTCAGCTTGGTGGGGGCATTTTGCTCGTTCACGTCGATCACTGCCGATGCCTCTAGTAAAAACCTTTGAATTCCTGGAGAAGCTGGTTATAGCAGGAGTTTCGTTAACACTTGACAAGAGTCTAAGCCAATGGAAAATGCTCCCTCCGAGCTGTACAGCGCCCATACGGAAGTCGAACCTTTAATCAGGGTCCGGGGCAGGGCCGTATTACTCACTATGCCAATTCTTTTCAAACGGTTTCTTCGACCGTGTCATCCTGCCTTGTGGTCACGTAGAAATTTATGAAGGAACGATATTCACGCTCTAGGTGATCGGTGATAGAATCGAACTATCCCTGAGCCTCATGCGTTGTATTGTCTTCTTCAACAAAATTCAATGAGTACTCGAAACACAATTTTCATTGGTAAGCTTTCGCTGTGGTAACAGCTTCGTCAGACCTCAAATATATAAAGCATACATAGCACTACAAATCTTTACAACAATAGAGTTGGTCGAAGTACTAACCAGACTGGAGTTCTCTTAACAATAAAGTTGCTAAGGTCTGTAATACACTACACTCAATGCCTACAACTGATGACCACTACACCAAATACTAACGACCTACCCCAGTGACACCGCCAATGCAACTAAAAGTGACTAGGAATGCGACGCGCTGACAATTGCGAGGACATCCTTATCACGACCGCTATCCAATCAGCCTCATTGCCTCCATCAGCTCATCCCTAATGTTTATTTCGGGGGATAATCGCTTGATGGCGATCGCTTCAAGTAACTTCCTTTCCAATGGGCTATCCTTCGTGCGGTGTAGAACAGTCACTTTCAGGCGGGGTGGTGGTTCTTGTTGGTGAAACATCGTACGATGCCGCGAGAATCCACTCTGGGGGTAAGAGGAGGGATTCCGTAAGGCTCGTACGTGTTCGTCCATCCTTTTGTATAAAGGTCGCATTGTTTCACCAACATATTTCTGATTGCATCCTTCGCATGTGACCAAGTAAACTGTCCCACGTAACTGGCAGATTTTATTTTCTGTACTGTTGTTTTTCTTTTGTTTTTCTTTTCTTATTTTTTTTATTTTTTATTTTTTTATTTTTACAGTATGAACAGTTACTTCGGCCCAGCATTTCTCTCTAGATCGCGATTGATGTCAGCATGCTTCTTAGATTTTCAGGTGGACGGAATATTAGCTTGATTGGAAGGCGCGACGACTTGATGGTATGATTGACGTTCTTTGCTACTCTTTCGTTGACGTATGGTAAAATTAATGGGATTCCTCCAGTAGCAAAGAAAGGTCGCCATGTTCTGGGTTCGTTCGTCGTATATCCATTCTCTTCCAAAATCCTAGCTATTTTCCGGTTCACCTCTTCTGATTCATAAGTGCATATCCTCGCCTTCGTAGCGATAAGATTTCTTACCACGTTAGCTTTCATATAGAGCGGATGTGCACTTCGAGAATGCAGAAGGATATTCTTTGACATCGGTTTCTTGTACCACTCGATCTCCTTCGTGCCATGGTCAATTCGGACCTTCGTGTTGAGGAATGGAAGGAAGCCGCGTTCGTCTGGATGTTCCACCGTGAAACGTATGTTTGGGTCACATGAGTTCAGGTTTTGAAGCATTGCGCCCATGACATCGGCGGTAGAACTAACGACGAAGACATCGTCTATGTAGCGCTTGTAAAATATAATCCCAGTGATCAGAGATCTCCTTTCAATCCTATCCAAATAGACGATGGCTAGTAGCGGCGAAATCCTCAATCCCATGGCAAGGCCTCGTTTCTGTGAGTAGAACATGCTATCAAAACTGGAAGATGTTGCACTTCAAGGTTGCCAGCAGGAGTTCGCGCAAATCTTCCTCCATCAATCCGAATGTATGCACTTCTTCATGATGTCTTCTTAGCAGTTCCATCACAGAATTTATAGCTTCATTACAGTCCACGTTGGTATACAAAGAAACCGCGTCGAAGCTCGCGTACGAAGCATCATCGGGTATCTCGCACCGATCCAGAGCTGATAGGAATTCTCCTGCGTTGACTAAATGAGCCGCAACATGTTGCAAAAGCGGCGACAGGAGCTTCGTAAGGAACCAGCTCACTCTATCCGAGGGGCCTCCACATGACGATATAATTGGTCTGGTTTTGATTGAGTTCTCTTCGATGTGACGTAGGTCAACTTCTTCCGGGAACTTGTGCGTCTTGACCAATGCGTAATACGTTGGCACCATCGGATATGTGAGAAGGAACCGTCTGGTTGTTTTCCTATCCATAATCTTGCTCAGGATCGTTGCGTTGTAGCGTGGACTGTTCTACACCGCACGAAGGATAGCCCATTGGAAAGGAAGTTACTTGAAGCGATCGCCATCAAGCGATTATCCCCCGAAATAAACATTAGGGATGAGCTGATGGAGGCAATGAGGCTGATTGGATAGCGGTCGTGATAAGGATGTCCTCGCAATTGTCAGCGCGTCGCATTCCTAGTCACTTTTAGTTGCATTGGCGGTGTCACTGGGGTAGGTCGTTAGTATTTGGTGTAGTGGTCATCAGTTGTAGGCATTGAGTGTAGTGTATTACAGACCTTAGCAACTTTATTGTTAAGAAGAACTCCAGTCTGGTTAGTACTTCGACCAACTCTATTGTTGTAAAGATTTGTAGTGCTATGTATGCTTTATATATTTGAGGTCTGACGAAGCTGTTACCACAGCGAAAGCTTACCAATGAAAATTGTGTTTCGAGTACTCATTGAATTTTGTTGAAGAAGACAATACCTTACAGGTCGTGATCGTACACCGTGCCTTCAAGGACTCCCAGATTACTCCACAGGGTAAACAAAACTTAGCCATCAGAAAAGAACAGTATTATCCCAAACAAGGCCAGTCACCAGAAATCATTCACGTGTCTTGTGAGCAGCCAAAAAGTTGGCGCTATTCGGCCTGAGAGGGGTATTACTAGTTCTTTTCGTTAGTTTATGTTAACTCACAGGACACACTTCGGTGAGACCTGTAAACTGTTTTGAAGCTGCCTAACTGGGCGTTGGTGAGCCACAGGCATGCTACAATAACACGGCTCACACAACTGGCGGAGTGTGCCGTTAAGTGCACCTCCCAGTTTTGCAGCGCTGTCTTCCTTTGGTCAGTGGGAAGTCCTGTGAGAACATACTCAACCGAACTCATTCATCTTTGCCGCCACATTCTCAATGATTTTGCTAATTTTTGGAAGTGATCAGGATTGTCTAGTCGCGGGGTTGTACGTGGTTCGGCTATGGGAGGTGCATTTCGCACTTTGCGCTCTGTCCGACGTCGATGGGTTCGTTGGTTTATAAGGATTGACAAGTATTTTCTTGCAAACGTTGACTGGTATCACGTTATGGCTTTACGAAATTCCACAAGTCTTTTTGATGCCTCGACACGACAATTGGAAATAGTGCAAAAATGCCCTCCCCTTCTAGCCAAACTGCATCCTTGATTTTAATCCAGCTACTAATTATTTAATTATCATCGTTCATCTCACATGGGAAACGAGAGAATATTTATAGTCTTTGAAGGTCGACTTTTTGCCATTTTTTTGAGGTTTGAAGGAGTTGGAGTTCTCACCAGAACAGCTCGGTATCCCTCAGTTTCTCGAAAAGCCCTCTAAACTGATTTTGTTGTTTTTTTTGTTTGTCTTTGTTCTTACTTTCATGTATAATTGAATTTCGGTCCTTTATGAGCAGAAACGATGTTAATATGCGTTCTGATAAAAAAAAAATTGAAAATTCCTCCCATTCGTTTTTCAGCTACCTCGGACGAAACCGCAATGTCGTTACTTTTCTTATTATGGCTGATAGGAGCTTTCCAACTAGGCTACTGTGGACCACCAGACGGACAAGCGGTCGTTAGATAACCCTATGTGAGTCAAGCGAAGCGTCGAAAAAGAGGCGAGGTTTATTGGATGTTTGTATAATAAATTAGCGGAAAATCAGCGTCTGTCTTGAAAAATCATATGGCTTACCCTTTGCTATCAATCTCGAGAGATTTTCGTAAACTTTGCGCTCAATTTGTTCTGGAACTCACCCGGATGGGTGTCGAAGTTTATTTTGTGGGATGGGGCTTCTGAATGAATTTGTTTCCATAGTAGCGCCTTGTAGCTTGAGATTGAAAGGGAAAAATGGCGGCCAGACAGCGTCCTTGTGTGATACATAAGGGGGGGGGGTCGATGCTTGGGACGCTGGGGATGGGGGGGTCGTCTTTTGGCGGTCGTTGGGGGTCATCGTTATGTGGAGAGAAATTTTGCGGTGTGGGGAAAAGATTTTCCAGTTGTTGACTTTTCGTTTCGCGTGCATTTTTCTCGTCTTCAGTGTACTATTTTACGACATCAGTTCGGTGTTGTCCTTGTGGCGGAGTCAGCGATTGAGCCGTTTTATTGGTGCGTTCCTCCCTTTAACTGGCTCGAAAAGAGTAGCACACTAGTAATGGTTGACTGTCACCTCCCATCCGTGTGAGCGTTGGACGTGCTCTAAAGACGTCTTGGAATGGAACTCTTGTTGTAGTGAATAAATCAGGTTCTTTCGGAAATTTTATCTTATTTTCTGAATCCTGAGGGAACGTCGCAAATTTGGGGCACGTGTGACAAAAAAGATATTGTATTGCATTAATGCTTATCCTCCTGAACCGGGCTCAATCGGGAGAACCCCTATCTGGAGGGGGGGGGAGGGACTGTGTGGCTAGCATGTGAAATTGTCATTTACTCATCAGACAAGCCACATAGTTCTCCTAACTTATTCTTGAGCGTCAAGCTCTTGATTGTATGACCCGAGTGATTTGTATATTCTGCTGTAAATTTTGAATATTGTACGGGGTAAACATTTCATTTTGAAATTTGCCCATTATGTCTTGACCTAAGTGACATTACCTGAATAGAAACCTTTTAGAGATACCTCACCACTTTCGGTTACATGTCAGGACCAAAGGCACCAACAGGCGCAGCTAGTAAACCACTAGAGCCCACCAAGTATGATCTACAAGTAGCCCTCAGGTGCGTTTTTTTTCTTTTTCTTCAATACAAACCATCCTTCTGGCGAATGTTTCACTCATATAAGGAATACCAATAATTTTCAAAAAAGTTATCACAGAATGCTGAGTTGTGGGCAAAAGTCGTGCCCCAGGCGGGAGTCGAACCCGCACCTCACGCTTTCCGGGCGAGTGCGCTATCCGTTACGCCACCAGGGCCGCTTTTACCCTCTCAGCTTGACGGCTTTTATGCCGTAGCCTATCAGCACTCACACGTTTAACTTGGTGGCGTAACGGATAGCGCACTCGCCCGGAAAGCGTGAGGTGTGGGTTCGACTGCGCCTGGGGCACGACTTTTGCCCACAACTCAGCATTCTTGCGGTCGCTAATAAAACAATTTCGAAAAAGTATTTTCCACAACGGGCTAGGCGCAGAAAAAGGATGCCAGCGAGCGTGTTTCCGTGTCATCTTCGCTCCTTAACGTGTAGTCGTCATCCGGGCAGTTGATTAGGCGGTCTTCGAAGGGTCGCAGATGCGGCTGCAGCGACGCGTGTGCGTAGGAACTGTTGGCGGCGATCAGCTCTTTCCGGTTTGGTTTAGCCATTTTCTCCCTACTTTTCACTGTTTTTAGCTGCTTTTCTTATGATTAGTTGTTCCTTGTCTTCAGAAGGTAATTATATGGGTCAGATTTCTCTAATTCTTGCAATAATTAAACATTGAGCAATTGAACAAATCCCTAAAAAATCGCAAAACACTTCATCACAAAAACAGAAAAAAAGAATCCACTTTCTTATATACTTCATAAAGACAAAAAACCACTTACAAATTGGGAAATAGAAAATACAGTGTAAATTGGGAGAAAATGGCTAAACCAGGCTGGAAGCAGCTGATCTCTGCCAACAAGCGTCTGCGACTCTTCTACGACGCCTAATGAACTGCCCGGATGACGACTGTACGTCTCTGCCTCTCTTTCGTCTGGCCCTCACCTTTCTGCTGACTACGCCCCTTGCTGCCGTCTGCTATAATCTGTAGGCATGTGACTTATAATGAGAGAAGTGAGCGTCGATCTTCATCTAAGTCACATCACAAATCCTGATCCAGCTCTTGTGCGGCTCTAGAGCTTCACAGTTTATACATGACGAAGCAACCCTTCGGTTTAGGCGGTTTCAGGAAGCTTTTCTGCTCTATCCGTCGGGTGTCGTCGACGTGCCAACGCTTGCGAAAATGTCCGAGTACAGATGTGCCAACAGGGACATGTACAATGGAGCCGAGCTGAAGAGTGGGTGTTATTTATTGAGTTCACTGACTGATCTTGAATGCAGTCTAGTTTTTGGCGGGGCTCACGTATCAGAGAACGGCTGCATCTTCAAGAAATGAGTTTATTATAAGCTTCGGCAAAAATTATCTGCGGCTAAATGGGATTTATAGATGTCGCAGCTATGCGGTCGGAGGGCGTCTCGAAGGGGAGAGAATGAGCCCACTTACGCGCGATCTGCGTTTTCTAGCGATGATGGGCCGATGCCAAGGTAGATAAACGAACCACTGGCGAGAAAACGACTCGGTTAAGCTCGTTCCATGCACTGCACCTTCCCCTATTGGTTTTCGGCGTATTAACTGACGAGTCGGCTGAGGAGTCTTTGTGCAGAAGTGGGTTGCCAAAAGGGAAGCGGCACTTCACGTATGCATAGAAGAGAAGGGTCCTCGGTCGCTGAAGCTTCGGGCAAAATGTTTTGCCCACCCAAAAAGATATTTTGTACAGCGGTACCCCTAGATCTGCGCCCTTTGAACCCCCTTTAGCCGACCCATGTCGGGCTCTTTGTAACGATCCTTTTATGGAGGAGAAGCATGAGATAAGCGACCTCTGGAATTCATTTTCCAAAGCACTTGAGTACTGCTTAGCCTCAAGTTACACTTATTGGGACATTTCATCTTATCTTTGGACTATAAGCGATCTTCTTTGTTGCAGATCTTCCGAAGAAACTTCTCTGGAACAAGAAGACGCTACTGTGGTACCTCTCAGGAAATCCGTCGTCGTTGACTCTGGCCCAAACAAAGTATTCTAATCGATTTCAACTGTAATGCCAATCGCGATAATGGGGCCTGTCAAGGGGCGGCTTTTTCCACCACTTCTTGTCGCTTTTTCAAACCCAGGGCCCCCTGACACACCCCAGCATCGGCGGCGAACAAAACTAGGCACTCTTCACGTAAGTTGATGTAGCATGCTACTCAACGCCTTGAAGTGCTTTATTCTGCTATGAATGGTTGCGGCGGAGAAATAGACGGAGAGCTCTAACTAGTCTTCCTCATTCATCTAGCGAGTTTTCCGGGGAATAGTGAATTAGAAGAAAGATGTGCACTAACTTAGGGAAGTCAGCAAATGATTATGAAGTCTCGCCCATCGATTCATCGGTGAAATGAGTCCTCATGTTGCGACCATCACGGATCAGATTTTAGTAAAATTGCCGACAAATTTCAGAGAGCGTGTGATGAAGCCGTCTCGCAGAAAGTGGCGTAAAGGTACTGAATAGATTTTGGTCGAGACCGAAGACCCGTTCGAAAGCTGATATTATTATTTCGTTTGGTGACCTGGGAGATGTGTTCGTGAACGGTGAGTTTTCTCCTGTATCCAGGGTCTTATTGCGGTCATGGGCATCCAGGTAAGATAGTCCAGAGTTCACTCTGCCTTTCATTGCCTGCTCACAGCTCGATTGAGAGCGTCATTATTCATTCCATCAGGAGTTTAACATCTTCCCGAATGATCGAGTTGCGCGAAAGCCATACCCATTCTGGGCGATTTTTGGGGCAGCTATTCTTTCCATGCTTATTTCCAGTCATACCATTGGTCATATGACATCTCAAAGGAGCACTCTACGTTAGTGGCTGGGCGGAGGCAGTCGGCAATCGTGCCTTCCTCATTGGTGCGCCTGCCACTGGCCAATGAAAACTGCCTTCGCCCGAAAGATTTAAATGGGCTGTACCTTAGAAGTAAATTTCCTCAAAACCACTTCCCCGTACCAGCCCTGAGAGGGTGCTTGCACGGAACTTACTAAGAATTTGACGTTATTGATCACATGATCATTTATCCTCGCTGTGATTTCAGTGGCTGCTGGATCTACACGACCAATAAACAGCCAAATAATTCTCGTGAAGCACCATCTTTGGGGCTATCGGAACCATGAGCCGGTAGGTCTAAATAGCAAAATCAGCGCAGACATAAGATTCGTAAAGCGGGCGTCAAGCCATCTGCGATTCTTTTGATGTGAGCAACTGAATCTCACCAGTAGTCTGATACAAATTCTGATTTTCGGTTTTTTATCGCTGCCTATTCTTGACCGCACCGCGACCGCACGCGTCAGTGGTCCTCAAAATGCAGAAATAAGCTACGTAGCTTGTAAAATTTCAGAGAGGCATCTCACTCTTCCATACACTGCTTCATGAAATAGGCCACGCCCTTGGATTACCACACAATTTCTACAGAGGGTGAGTCTGCTCTAGTTGATAACGTCTTTTTTTATTGAATCGAGCTATCTTCAGATCGATAATGTACCCGATCCTGAAACCTGCGATGGTTCCATATGCACATGAGCGACTACCAATGTCGATAAAAGTGCGCACTGGAGGAAGCGTTACGGTAAATTAGCCTTATTCAGATTCTATGGGAAGCAAAGTGTAGCATGGTGGGGGGGGCGGGGAGTGGGTGAAGATATCCGGTGCGAAATTGTTGTGCTATCACCCTCATACATAGTCTGCGGATTGAATCCTGGACCATTTTTCACTTGAGCAAACAAGCCTTTTACAGTACTGTTGTTGGTTAATTGGTACCATCCTGTTCGAGTACGGCAGGAACAATCTGTGGGAATAAACAAGGGGGGCCTGAAACAAACGCTGAATGCTCTCACGTTTTTTCGGTAAAGCTTATATCATTCGTATAGCAATTTTCGTTCCTAAACGATTCCTCGGTTCCGAGGTGGAGGAAGGAGACGAAGACGCGAGACATTTCTTCATTGTAAATGATCTCTTATGTTGCTTCGGCTCTGGAGCGAACTGTAACTTCTATTAGTACATGCTTTGTTTTTCGTACTCAATGGAGTTCTTCTCAATTTCCCCGCTATATATTGCCTGTCACCTCCCTTGTTCAAAGTTGTGTGCGCAGAGGGGGGTAGAGGAAATGAACAGTTAATTTTGAAATGAATAGAAAAAATTGCCTAGGAAATTGTGAGGATTCAGGAAGATGGTAGAAAAATACGGGGAAGAAATCGTGCCAGAGGAGGATATTCCGAGGGGAGAGGTCGAATCCTGTAATAGTGCCCCACCCTTGGTAGGACGTGCCCTGAGTAGATCCCATCAAGACTCCTATCAAATAGGCAATTATACCAGCTAAGTAATTACACAATTTAAGTTTTAATTATGACAAAAAGGAGACAAAGATGTGAACTCACAGTGAAAAATATTATTGTTCAAAGATCACTTACCAACGACCAACAGAAAAAATTGGCTATTGTTATGGGGGTAGAAATTGGCCCAAACATGGCACCTCCTACGCCGCCGATCGCAGTGGCCACACACACACATGCTATATAATCGCTCCCCAGGGTGCAGTCGCTGAGAAGCTCTCGTTCGCAATTCATTCGCTGCTATTTGTCGGACCAATTCAAGGATGCTTCTTCTTCTCGCTATTATTCCACTTGTTGCGACTGCTGACATCGATCTAGAGCTTACGGAACCAGGTACAAATCACCTCCTTCAGTCAGTTCCAAAGGGAGGCGAGGTCTGAATCGGGTAGTCGAGCACCCATGTGCCCCACGAAACTGTGCAAGAAATCACCCAAACTGGGGCACATTGCGCTAACGCACTAAAGGACAACTTGAGAGCGTTCTCCGCAGCGTCTTGAAATTACTTTATGCGCAACACTAGCACTATTCATGCACAAAGATGAGCTCCATCCATTGCTGAACCCCCTAAGCATGGCGCATTTGGGCAAATTCCCTCGTTCTCCCCCCCCCCCCCCCCACCCACTCCCGCCCAGTTTCAAACAAGGGCACCCTCAACATGCCTCCCCCCACCACTTAGCGGGTTTCCTCTCGCTGGCACGAACAGGACTTTTTACTTGGGGCGTTGGCGTTTTCAACGTTTCCTCTCCTTTTTTTCTTCACGAGGCCGCGTCAGTGGTTCATACACACTCTGCCACTACGACTTTTCGTTGGCTCACTCTTGAGCCCGCGTCTACTTTGCATAAGAGCCGCTTTAATGCCCTCCACCAACTTTAGCCGATTTGGCCCCCGCCGCAGTGTTCGAGACGCATAGCAACTGCTTTACAGCAGAAAAGCTAATCTAATCACAGCATATTATCGAGTTCACGAATTACGCAGAGCAGGTGGGTATGAGGGGGTTTCATTCGGTGCTGTTTATCCGACCGATTCGACCATGCTGATTCCTCTCGCGTTCATTTCACTTGTTGCGACTGCTGTCATCGGTCTAAAACCAGGTACGAATGATGTATAACAGATTTTCGAAGATCCCACGATTCAAAAAGGCACTCACATGAAAGCGTGGAGAATTTACAGTAATAATCTGCAAATGCGAGGGCGTGTGGATGGGCGCGCACAGCCAGGGCAGTGTTTTCCATAATTTTGTGGCGGGCTCAGAAGCACATTTGGTTTGCGGGTACTTGCCTCTGGCTGCCACTCCAGTTTGCACGCCTTCGTGTTTCCCTATTCGTTTGCATTGCATCAATGTACCTAATCGGAGGCCGTCGGCTAAGCGGAAAGGGTATTCGAAAAGTTACTCCTGCAAAACTGGAATTACTGCTATCCATAAATCCTTGCACAAAGAAGTTTTTTGTTTACACGCGCCTAGAACCTCTGTAGCTCCTTACAGCAGATGTAGGGAGACTTTATAATGCAGCCTTCTCTCGTATTTAGCTAACTTTGCCCCTCTTAAACGTTTCTTACAAGCACGAAGCCACTGATTAAGAAAGAAAACTAATCAGACCAGAATATATTCACACCTTAGAATTCCAACAGAGCAGCGGCGAGTGAGATGGGGGGGGGAGGAGGGCGGGTAATAGTTTTCTGAGATTGTCTAGCTAAAACAAAATCAGCCAGTAACTTCTTACCAAACTTGGGGCGCTGACACTTTCCAAAAAGTGATAAAGGACCTCGACAAGCTAGATAAGTCTTTTTAGCTGCTGAAATACGACCCCACCTAAACCCCGCGATCGCAAAGCCGGATCGACGACGTCTAGCCATCTGTAAGAAGCTAACGGTAAACTGGGATCAGCGGACAGTTAATATGGGTAACTTACCTGCTTATTATGCCTTTCAAGTGCAGCCATGGAAAATATAACGCATTTCAGCTAACTCCCATACTTCTGCAGATGTAGCCACACACCTTTTACTTCCTTGTAAAATTCAATCTGTACTTGTGCGCGAGTTAGTCCCCTCATAATAGCTTGGCAAGGGGAACCATTTTAAATACTGTGTTCGCCTTCCTAGACGGAACCCAGCTTACCAATTAACCGACCACGAAAGGGACTCAGGAGGTTTGGCTGCGCGTCGAGAAGATTCACACTGCATAGCTTTAGAAGTGGCCATTCCATACCGCTGGAGGGGTAAGGCGACGCCATTTGCCACTTTAAACGATTTTCACCTCTAATATAGGGGGACATTGTTATACAGTTATTGTTCTGCTTATTTTGTGTTTCCTGAAGGTACAGTTTTACTTGTTTATAGCGTCCCCGCCCACAAAAAACAAGGCAGCAACGAAAAAGCGGGCCGTCTGGTCATCGACGTTAAAATGCCTTAAGAGATCGACTCAGTTACCTATCGTAAGTATTCTGCTATGTATGATCGAGCTTATGAAAATCTAAGTAGCGAGTGAGCGCGCTCTGGCATTCTAAACGTTCAACTGTACTGTGCTAAAACGGCAAGCAGAATCGCAAACTTGCCGCCTCCGCGCGCGCGCGAATGGACGCGCCGGCAGATTCTTAACTCGTGTTAAACTGGTCGAACTGGAGCCACCGGACTTCATGTAGATCCGCGTCATCATATTACATCATGACTATTTTCGGTCATGGGATTGCTTGTTTGTCGTCATCCTCGCATCTAGAACATTGTCATTATTGAGCGCAACGTCACGCGCGACGCCTCATCAACGCGACGAATTACGATTCTCTTGTCACATACCCGGTGTGAATGAGCGAAATCAACTAGCTAGCAAATGTTATACGCGCCGCGCTAGTCTCTGCGTGTCACTGTATATCATCTCCTGACCCAAACTCACGTAGTCTCTGCCATATCAAAGACCCACACGGTTGCAAACAAGCGCTGTAGGGTGCTTCCGCCAAAGTCCCAGAGACAAACTGTACACTCAGCTTCGTAGATCCTTGTCCTTGCCATGTGCGAGAAGAATGGGTCCATAGCTGCGGTAGCCCATCACTAAACTTAGTAAGGGGGGTGGGGGCGTAAGACACGTAGCGAGACTGTACGCTGTCTGCCGCCCCTTAACTTGAGGACGTGCGGAAGTCAAGCTGAATGGTAGTGATTCCGTTTGATGCCACCCTGTCCACGCTACCACAAGGTGCAGCAATCACGTAGATACCAAAATCAAGCAGCGGAGACGCTCTCAGGGGTGGAGGGCATCTAGAAGTAAGGGGGCGCAGACACGTAGCAGTCTCGGCTACGTGTCTGCGCCCCCTTACTAGTTAGGCGTGCGGCATCGCGGGAGGAGTCTCAAATCGCTACCCACCAATTCCGTTCTTTCTTTCAAGTGAAGAAAGTGATGGGCTACCGCAGCTATGGACCCATTCTTCTCGCACATGGCAAGGACAAGGATCTACGAAGCTGAGTGTACAGTTTGTCTCTGGGACTTTGGCGGAAGCACCCTACAGCGCTTGTTTGCAACCGTGTGGGTCTTTGATATGGCAGAGACTACGTGAGTTTGGGTCAGGAGATGATATACAGTGACACGCAGAGACTAGCGCGGCGCGTATAACATTTGCTAGCTAGTTGATTTCGCTCATTCACACCGGGTATGTGACAAGAGAATCGTAATTCGTCGCGTTGATGGCGTCGCGTGCGACGTCGCGCCCGCAAATGACGATGGTTCCAGGTAGAGATGGCGACAACAGGCAATTCAGAACCGAAAATAGTCATGAATGTCTACGATGACGGGGTCTACATGAAGTCCGGTGCTCCAGTCGACAGGTTAACACGAGTTAAGAAACGCCGCGCCCATCGCCGCGCGCGGCGGAGCGGCAAATTACGATTCTCTTGCCCGTCTCCCATTCGCACCAGATCAGTTGAACGTTTGTAAGAATACCAGCACGCGCTCCTGCTACTTAGATTTTCTAACTCGCACTCTGAAGCAGAATACTTACGATAGGTAACTGAGTCGATCTGCTTCGGGCATTTACTCAGATGACCAAGACCGCTTTTTTCGTTCTCCTTGTCGATTTGTGGGCGACCTATAAACAAGTAAAACTGTACCTTCAGGAAACAACAAAATAAGCAGAACAATAACTGTATAACAATGTCCCCCCTATATTAGAGGTGAAAATCGTTGAAGTGGCAAATGGCGTCGCCTTACCCCTCCAACGGTACGGAATCCACTTCTAGCTATGTCAGTGTGAACCTTCCTCGG